CAGGGACGGGGTGACGGCGGTTTTGGCGCGTGCAGGGACGGGGTGACGGCGGTTTTGGCGCGTGCAGGGACGGGGTGACGGCGGTTTTGGCGCGTGCAGGGACGGGGTGACGGTGGTTTTGGCGCGTGCAGGGACGGGGTGACGGTGGTTTTGGCGCGTGCAGGGACGGGGTGACGGTGGTTTTGGCGCGTGCAGGGACGAGGTGACGGCGGTTTTGTTGCCCCTACTACAGTGGAAAACCGAACTGAGCTGGAACCGCGTGGTACCTAGTCTCCCTTCGCAGTGTGGCTCGGTTCCTGTATGCCAGTGGAAAAGCGCCATAAGATAAAAAAAGCACCAAAATCAGGAAATAAGATCCCTGCTGTTACCGTCTCCTTGCTCCTGGGTTTCCTTGAGCTTTGATGCGGGCAGAGTAACGATCAGCTTGCTGTTGTGTTCCTTGCGTACTTGCGGTCGGCCAGCCCTGTTTATTACAAATCAACGACAGTCTGTCTCAAGTGAAGCCAACAGCAGAAGTTTTATTAAAGGTTTTGTTGATTAAAGGAAATTTTAGTTAATGACTTAGTTTACTAATGCAAAAGATGGGTGGTCCTAACAAAAAAGGAAACACACAGATCAACAATAACTTCAAAATGAGAAACCCAGCAGCGGCTTTCACCAGCAGTACAACCTGCGTGGCTATGATTGGTTAACAGAAATCATAAGGGTTACTCACAGGGAAAGGTCAGCCATTCGAATGGTACACTTACTTGCAGTTTGGACACTTCCTAGGTATCATGTTTTCCCTCCAAAATGTTTGAACGAGCTGGTTTTTACACTGACAGACACGCTTGACCTGAAAAACCCCAAGAAAAATGCATTTAACTCAAGGCAGAGGTTTTGGAATCTAAACGGCACTGATATTGAGGCACAGACACGTCCTGCTGGAACTCACCGGGAAAGCGGAGTCTCTGTCCTTCCATTTCCTTAGAAAGCCGGCAGTGTAGTCCTCCAGCACCTCCTGGATCTCTACACCCGTGGCCTTCACATTCCCCTCCAGATACTGCAAAGCATCAAGATGGCAAAGCCACTCCAGTCATCAGCAGTGCATTATACACTGTGCTTTGTGCGGCATGGATTCAATATACAGTGGTACCTCGGTTCTCGAACTTAATCCGTTCCGGACTCCGGATCTAATCCTAAAAAGTTTGAGTTCTGATCAAATTTTTCCCATAAGAAATAATGGAAAACCAATTAATTGGTTCCCGGCCCCCCCAAAATTACACCTAAATATGTTTTTTTTTTAGCATTTAAACACAAAATGAACAGAGCAGCATTTTTTTCTTAATGGCTTCCAAATCGATAAAGATCTTATCCCAACATTACCCCTGTCCTGCCCAGATCGTCCGCTCCTTCCGTGTGCCACGCCCCCTCGTTAATCTCCTGTGGGATCCCCATGTAATCAGCTATTTCTGGTTGTTGTCATTAGTGCTCAGTATTAAGTCCGCGTTTCAGTTTGTTTCCCCAGTCCGGTCATTGGGGGCGTTCGACTTGCTTACAGCGCTGGCTTAAAGCAACGCATTCTGATTCCTGATCCTGACGCAATGCATTACGGGTAGATGCATTGCAACCTCTCACCCGGCTACACAAACTGGAACCACCTCCATGACGACACACCTTTGCCCTTATTGGCTGAAGAGTTTAGCTACACGCATGACGTTTGTATCCCAGGCAGTTCCGATGCGTAATCTGCTATTATCACCAACAAGCGCTGCTACTACAGCAAATGCGAGGCTGACACTGAAGCATTACCTTTTGTTTCCGCTCAGAGACGTGCCGTGTGACTCATTTCCTGGAGCGTACAATTTATATTAGGTCAGCGTTCACGGTTCGACTTCTGATATTCAGATCAAGTTCTAGGTCAAACTGGTTTGTTCGACTTTCAAGAAATTCGAGTTCTAGTGAGTTCGAGAACCGAGGTACCACTGTATGTGTAAGAATTGAAAACGACAAGCACAGGAAAGGCCACTGGAGGGCAGCAGCGAGCCCTAGGAATGACGCATACTGACCCGATTGAGCTCTGCCTCCAGCTCGTAAACAGCTTCAAGGGCCCCCACCTCCAGCACCCGCAGCTGCTGGAGCAAGAGGTGGATGGCAGAACGGGGGCAGCTCAGCATCTGGCATCTCATACAGGAGCCGCGGATCAGCAGGTAGAGTTTCTGATAATGGGAGACAGGCCGTTTAACACTCAGTGGCATCACACAAATTCCAAAGATATGCACATATATCTGAGTCTGGGGAAACTTAATACTGAATACCGGCCATTAAAAAGTTCAGACTGTATAGAATAGCACTGCTCTCTCTCCCCCCCCCCACCCCCCACTAATAAAAACCATCCATCTATGTACCATTCATATTGTAAAATCATGACAATATTTATTATTTTTATACATTCTTTGTTTATAATTCTGCTAGTTTTTTTTCCAGGCAAAAAAGGAGGAAAAACTAAAACAATCATTTAGCAAGCCACTGTAATAAATTAATAATACAATGACATTTCAACAACACAACAAACTTTTTCAAAAGGTTGATTCCTGATTAATTCATCGTTCAAGAGCAAAGGATGTAGTGCAATCCAGCTTTACCCATCCGGCCTATCATTAATACTGGCTTCTTAGCCATCTTCCGTAAAAACACTTTAGTACTGCCTACACATTTTAGCGAATAAAAGGTATTTAAGTCTGAATGGCGAAATATAACACAGCGTCGGTTGATATCAGTGACTCCTGTGAATCGCTGCCTGTACCGCCATCCATCAGGTTCTCAGAAGCATCCCCAACCCGAGTGATGGTCACTTACATCAAAGAGGAGCGGGTTGTAGACAGGGAGCGGCAGCTCTATGTGTCCGAGGTGCCCGGGGCAGTTGTTAAAGCCCTGCATGCAGGTAGTGCAAACTTCTTTGGTGTCGGACGGCCCAAGCGAGAGGTCGTACAGGCCATTAGACGCAGGGTTTCCAACATTGTCCAGAAATCTCGGGTTAGTTATCGCCTTCACACTCAACTTCCTAAGACAAGGAGGAAAGCTTGGTGACTTTTAGGTGAGAACGGATACGTGGATTGAGGGTTAAATCAACACACAAACAAGCGATGTACTTGGCCTGGTTCAGCTAAGAATATATTAATAACGATTCCACTTTTGTTTGCTGTCCAGTGTTTTTAATTATACTACAGCCATTATGGCAGTCTCTGAGTTTCAGAGAACTAGTTAAACGTTAAAGTAGTTTCCAACAGAAATACATACTCATTGCACACAAGGTAGTTTATATAACTCGACTCATTTCATTTGCAATTAATTTTTTTTTCGCATGTTTCTGACATTGTATCAGGATGTTCGTTATCCAAGTACGTCCCACAGACAAAGTTAGCTTGTAATTTTGGTTAGCAAGTCGGCCAACACTGCTCACCTTATTTCTTCAGCCGAGTACATGCCAAATGACACGCCTTCAAGGCGCCTCCACGGTATCTCTTTGTCAACCAGCATCTTGACAAAAATGATAGTTAGGAATAAAAGCGTAAATAAACACAGTAAAAACAGTATGTTAGTTAACCCATGTACACATGGTTCCAGGCATTGGCGATCCAACACACGTGGTGCACTGCGAGAGCACCGACTATACCATTGCCCGCGTAGGGGTGGACGCCCGCACTTTTTGTTCGCTGGAATAAAACATCAATAAATGTATCTCTATTTACATAAATGTATTTATAATTTTATTTTTTTTTCATTAAAATACGAAACTTTGTTTGACATCATAATGTAAATTTAAAAGATCCTCTATTTAAAAATGACTTATTCCTTCCCAACATGCATTTTGGGGAAATATGGCGGCTCTCTGTGGTGGTGTCGTGGGGTCGAGTTTTTGTAGGAACCATCAGCTTTTCCGATTGTTACACAAAAGCTTTATTGGGAGGTATGCTTTTGAAGTGAAACTCGCTTTTCGTATGTTATTTCATTTATTATTTCGCTTTTTGTTGGAAAATCTCTAATATGCGTGACATTGAGTAGCCCTTGTGTTAGCATTGACATTCCATAAGGAAATGTTTGGGTGCATTAATTAGACATATCAGTAACTCTGGGGCTAAATAATCATTATGATGTTTTATTTCTGATAGGTTAGGATGCAACCATGTTGCAGCTCAGCATACTGCGCCCTCTGAAACTGGTAGGTAGCTGTCTGCATTTGGGGTTTAACGTTAACCGGTTATAACAGCATGCATTTACCTAGGCTGAGATCTGGACGTGTTTTTTATATTTTGTGTGAAGCTGATTTCATTGATACCAGTATGTCGCTTCTGCCTGCAATCAGCATGACGTCTCAGCTTGATGTTATTACATGTATTATGATGTAAAAACTTAGTGTTGACTGTTTTTTGCGATGTCAAGCAGCGTTTGTGTTTTCACAGGCTCTGCTCAAGAGATTATAATTCCACGAAAGAAAAAATGGTAGGGCATTTAAAATGCTTAAAAATTGGTAACATCTGCATATATTTGACTATTTTGAATCAGTTCCGCACGCTCTGTTACAGGAATGAAGAGGCCGTACTCCAGGCTCTCGCATCCACCGTTAACAGGGTACTCTAGGTTTTCTGCTTACTCTGGTAATTGTTCTCCAAACAGTTCAGTATCGATTGCTTTTAAAACTTTTTTTTTTTCCTGGTCCATCTTCAGGACCCAACTGCATCACATTACAGATTTCAGGACGACGCCTTTCTCACCCCAAAGACTTCCTCCGAATTCGTATGTATCAGAGAGTGTGTCCCATTCATGTGATTGCAGTATTAGTTCCAGTTAGTTACATATTTTGTATGAATCACAATACTGACCTTTACAGAAGTTTTACCTAAACCTTTTTGGGTTTTGAAATGATGGGTAGGGATTAAATGCATGGAAAAAGAACTGTGAGGGCAAAATTAAAATAATTTAAGCCTAACTGAGGCATGGTACCATTTTTTTTAGCAAAGGCGATTGTGACTTTTGAGAGCAGTGTGCTTGAACGCATAGGAACTATATATGTGTGTGTTGTTTGTTCCCCACAGAAGCTGTTCTCCCAGTCACAGGAGGCAGGGAAGAATGCCGCAGAGTACGTTGTCAACACTTACCCCAAGTATTTCACGAAGGACTATGCAGAGCCTCACGTACCTGTGAGTTTGCATTGCGCTGTTAATGGGACACTGCATGCATGTGCGTAACAGGTTCCTCGTAACGCTCCACAGTGCTTAAAGGCCGGGATATACTTGACGTGACGTGTATGCAACGCAAAAAGTGTACTGGCTATACCAAGAGCATCTGGCTGCAGACCAATGGGCGAACTCCGCTAGGAGGATCTCCACTGTGCGGCCAGAAACGCCACTCCTGGCCCAGACATGACCCTGCTGAAGAGAACTCAGTAGGCTGGATTATTAAAGTTAGTTCCCGATGTTGCACTAACGTCGTATCCAGCACTACTGTGGAGGACTTGTGATTCTGAGCCTCCTTCTTATAGAATAATACGATATCCTAGTGGAGATGATGATGATGATGATGATGATGATGATGATGATAGTAATATCAATATCCTATTATAATAATAATTACTATATTTTTATCCAGTGGCTAGAGTGCCAACCCTGCAACCAAACTCCACATTTTTCCCTGAAAATTGGAGGACCTGCTCACAGGGCTGGATGTAGGTTAACATCATACCCAGGATGAAGCACTTGCAGGTTAGGGGCCTTGAACAAGGGCCCGACAGAGTAGAATCACTCTTGACATTCATGGGATTTTAACCAGTAACCTTCTGATTTGCCGATTCAGGTCCCTAGGTTCAGAGCACCACTCCGCCCGAAATATATACAAAATGTAATAATATTTAATATAACTTTATATGCACAAACACACACACATATATATGTACCGATACACATACACAGATATAAAATTATACTATAATTATACTAGCATTCTCTATATTCTAACCACTAATTCACATCGTATTGGTACTTTGCTCAGCCACATACCCACATACCAGTTTACTACACCAGGGTCGAATGTTGCATTGTATGTTAGATACCCTATATTGCCAAAAGTATTGGGACACCTGCCTTTACACACAGATGAACATTAATGACATCCCATTCTTAATACATAGGCTTTAATTTGGAGTTCGCCCATCCTTTGCAGCTATAACAGCTTCAACTCTTCTGGGAAGGCTGTCCACAAGGTTTAGGGGTGTGTTTATGGGGATTTTTGACCATTCTTCCAGGAGACCATTTGTGAGGTCAGGCACTGATGTTGCATGAGAAGGCCTGGCTCACAGTCTCCACTCTAATTCATCCCAAAGATGTTCTATCGGGTTGAGGTCAGGGCTCTGTGCAGGACAGTCAAGTTCCTCCACACTAGACTCGCTCATCCATGTCCTTATGGACCTTGCTTTGTGCACTGGTGCGCAGTCATGTTGGAACAGGAAGGGGCCATCCCCAAACCGTTCCCACAAAGTTAGGAGCATGAAATTGTCTAAAATTGCTTTAAATGCTGCAGCATTAAGATTCCTTTCACTGGAACTAAGGGGTCAAGTCCAACCCCTGAAAAACAGCCCCACACCATAATCCCTCTTCCACCAAACTTTACACTTGGCACAATGCAGTCAGGCAAGTACCGTTCTCCTGGCAACCTCCAAACCCAGACTCGTTCATCTGAGCTGCATAACAGCCTCCTTGTGACACCTCAGTGTGTAACAGACTCCTTGTAACACCCCTCAGTGCATAATGGCCTCCTTGAAACACCCGTGGCTCGTAGTGCCCTGCAGCTCATAACAGCTTCCTTGTAATGTCCTCCCCGTAACGCCCCTCAGTGCGTAGCAGCCTCCTCATCCTGCCCCGAGTTGCATAACGGCCTCCCTGTAACGCCCCTCAGTGCGTAGCAGCCTCCTCATCATGCCCCGAGTTGCATAACGGCCTCCCTGTAACGGCCTCCCTGTAACGGCCTCCCTGTAACGGCCTCCCTGTAACGGCCTCCCTGTAACGGCCTCCCTGTAACGCCCCACAGTGCCTCATGCCGGACACTCTGAAGCCCCAGGTGAGCGACGTCAGCGAAGGGGCCCTGAAGGAGCTCATCCAGCTGAGGAAAGTCCGCCAGGCGGTCAGCATGTACGACCAGTTGCTGCAGGCTGGTAAGCAACACAGATCCTCTCGAGTCAGACAAGCGATAAAAGGACCCCTGAGATGATTAAGAGCTCTTACATCCAGGCTGGGAGGGAGCAAAAATTCATAGCGACAGTGTATGGCTGCCATAGAAACCAGTCTGGAAAACAAGCTTTAAATGTTTTATTATTTTTTTTTGTATTCAAGCTGCAGTAATAAATCGGGATGATTTCCAGTGCATCTTCAGTTTAGCGTTGTCCGTTTTGCAGTCTCTCCCCGCTCTGCTCTGACCAGTGTTTCTAAACCGTGTCACAGGCACTGCGGTTTCCCTAGAAATGACCAATGACCTCCTGGATCTTATCTGCTTCTACGGGGACCAGGATCCACAGCAAGAAGAAACACCCGATCAGGAAAAGAGTGAGGATGGGGTGAGGATGTTCAGCATGACTGAATGTGCAGTTTTATTCAGAAGATATGCACTTCCTGGTTTTGTGCATTTGGACTTGATTTTTGAGGTCCCTCTTTTTTTTTTTTTTTATAAGGCTTTATTAACTGCAGAAAGACCTCTTTGTTTGATAATTAATGACAGATTAAGACTGGAGAGCTCGTTGTTGATTCTTGTGCCGTCGTTCTTTTTCAAAGGAGGAGCAGGAATTGCCCCCGAAATCGAGGCGTGGGAGGTCAAGGAAATTGGAAGTGTGGAGGTGAGTGTCCAGGACTCTGGTGGGGGGGGGGGGGCAGCTAGCGATTACCTGACAGTTCTGTGCTGTTTCCAGATGCTGATATGATATTTTTTATTTTTCTTAAAGGAAAGACAACAATGCGGAGAGGATATTTAATCTGATGGCTGAGCGCAGTGAGCGCTCATACAGCGCCCTGATCAGGGGCATGGTCAAGGTGAGCAATTCATACTCAGCATCTCTCCCCTTTCCTTAAAGCTGGCCATGTACTTCAAACAACATCCAGCAAAATGGAATCGAACACACTGGTGAAAACAATCTGTCACTTAAAATGACGCCACTGCCTTGTTTGGTCTGTATGCCATGACCCTAGATGGCACAACAGACCCACAAATGCAAATAAACATATCGTGACGAGTGCGTGAGTCATTTTAATAAAGATGACAGCTAACAGCCATTATCAGTTTGAAACTAGCAGTGACACAACAATTTACATGGTACTCATGGGTAGTACTTTACACATGCATTTCACAAAAAATATTACATGGTTACGACATTTATTATTAACGGAAATACACAAATGCACCTTACCGATATTTCAGGCATACTGTACTGGTAGTGGGTTTGTGCCAGTCATCTTTAGGTATTATTTTAATGTCACCTTTGCACCATTTCTAACATTTTTAGTATATTTATAAATGATTATGCAGTAGTGTACTGTAACTGTACTTTAAATTGGAATAGAGGAAATCAGCATTACATACGTTACTTAGGTTTGCATACTGTAAATACAGGTAATTACATTATTTACTTATCGTAGACAAAATGCGAACGCTAGTGTAGTGAATACAGAACAACTGCAGAAAGACACTACACTGCCGTTTCCATGAGCAAAGTTCCAGTTCAGCGTACAATACCGATTGGTCGGAGAGCTGGTCCTAAGTCCAGGCAGTCGTTAAACCAGAAAGTCGTTAAGTGAGGAGTGTCCTAACCCCGTTCTCTGTGAATCTGCAGTACGGCGCCCAATTGAAGGCGTTTGACCTGTATGCTGACATGCTAAACAACCGTATGTCTGGTAAGTTGGTGACGTGGCTGTTAGAGCACATACACCCATCGAGTCCCAGCTCGTTATGTAGATAATAACCGCTGCGTCAGGTTAGCTGTTAGCTATTCAGCTTAGTCTCTTTTTTTCCACTAGCCATTCTTAAACATTGTAGTAATCATAGATTTATTAATTATTTTTAATAGAGCAAAGATGTTTGCACAAGTAATACCAGGGGAAGGTGAAGCTGGTTCTGAAGTCTAGCTTTAAATGTTTAGCTTCATTCAGTGAACAGTCTGATCCAGCCTGTCTCCGAGCCCAATGGAAAAAAGGCGTAATGGATACCAACGATCCGGGGCAAGGGTTGTCTGTGCGACACAGTGCCTCCTGCTGGCTGAAAGCTAAGTTCAATCATGTGACCGTTGGATCTTTTGTCTTTTAGTCGACGTGAACACCTTCAATGCGCTCATCATCGCCGCCCCAGAGGTCAGACAGAAATACAATGAGAAGTGGGAGCTGATCGTGGTGAGTGTCGAGCCTGACTGCGGCATCCGTCCGCGGGCCCGAGAGGCGGTTCTGCGGGTGTGATTCCCGTCTCCCCGGACCTGCAGGAGATCCTGAAGCAGATGAAGGAGCAGGGCATGAGGCCCAGCCTGCTGACATTCAACGCCGTGCTGAAGAGCTCGCGCCGGTGCGGCCCTGCTGGCCGAATGCAGGCACTGCAGACGCTCAGCGAGATGAAGGCCGTGGGAATCGGTCAGTATCCGGGGCAGAGGGCCCTTTTCTGCCTGCAGTCTGGCGTTTCTCAGATCAGAGGGCAATTCTCATTTTAACACTAATTGTGTCGTTATTGTATGTACTGAACACATCGTTCCAACATTCACAGTGTGGGGTGGAAAAAAATCAGCGAATCCCTGGGCAGGTGAGCCCAGCAAAAGCTGAATGGAGTCAAGTGTTAAACCTGGAGTCCAGTCAATGAAATGAGACTGTTGGTGTGACTTTGAGATTCTCTGACTTATAGCACTCAGACATTTTCAGTTTGCTTTTCACAAGAAGCATCTGCTGATATGAACCGTGCCTTAACAAAAGAAGAGAACTCGGAAGACCTACGATCAAGATGTGTTGATTAGCATGAAGCTGGAAAGGGCTACAGAATCGCCTCAAACAGTTCAGATATTCATCAGACAGTCTGTAAATGGAGAGTTTTGTACTGAGGCAGGTCTCCCTACAATTGGGAGGTCAGCCAACATGACTCCAGAGACACAAAGTAGAATATTCAATGAAGTAAAAGGACCCTAGAGTGACAGCTATTCACTGTCCTATAAGATCTCTCCATGCATGAGAGCTGGAGTCACCCCTGGATTGGTCCTGTGCTCTGATGGTGCCACAGTGGCTTAATAAACCATCCAGAACAACCAGTTGGAAGGTGGCTGACCTAGAAATGGCTAGCTTAAGTAACATCCGCTGCATTTTTGCTTACTGGTTTCCACAGACCACAGACTCTGGCTCTAGCAGGGCTGCTATGATTGGGGGTGGAATCCTGAAAGGTTCAGGGGGCCCGATGTGGTCTGGGGCCTGGAACATTCCAGCAATTATTATCTTCCATCTAAATGTGGAGCCCGGGGTGAGCCTTTGGAAATGCTAGTTCGCTGCACATTTTTGAGTCACATCTCTCTCCTCTCTATCCTGCAGAGCCCAGTTTGGCTTCATATAACCACATCCTGGCAGCTTTCTACAGGACAGGTATGTTACGCCGTTAATGTTCACAAAGGCCCGCCTGAGGAAATGTAGCAGAAATAAGTACCCACAAGCTGGGTGGCTGAAGCTGTGAACCGCGTCCAGAGGAATCCTGCTCCAGACCTTCAAAGCAGAGCCTTTCGGATGTTCATGGGAAGCCCAAATTCACCACCGTCACAGCTAGTCTGTTGTGCTTCCTCCTCCTGCAGTGTTCGGACCCTCAGCCTCGTTCAGTAACGTGTCATCTGACATTCTTCACAAAGTCATGGACGAGGTTTCTGGGAAGTCTTTCATAGCCCGTGATCCAGATGATGGTGAGATCCTTCTGCATAAGTCATTTATTGTTAAAAAAAAACAAAACAAAAATTAAACCACAGCATAAATATGTGGTATATGTGTATAATTGCTGTGGGTGTCAGAATATACATAATTATCCATATTTACATATACCCAGTGTATTCAAACGGTGAGTCAATAATTTTGAGGCCTGCCTCAATACAAACACACTCTCTTCTGTTTGCAGTTCACTTCTTTAACTACGGCATGAAAATCGTGAGTATCCCTGACACTTGTGCTCAGAGCCGTGTGCAGTGGGTGGCAGTGTAGTGATGCCGCTCTTCCGCTTGCAGTGCTGCTCCCTGAAGGACCTGGGCCTGGCCTACAGGCTCCACCAGCTGTTGGGGGTCGGAGACAACTGGCGCTTTCTGGGCAGCCCTTCCCAGGAAGCTCACTATTAGTGAGTGTCCCCCGTTGTACTGACAGCCTGTGGTCTGCCGGCTCGTGTGCTCACATCGGGATTTCACCTTTGTGTTTGAAATGACTCTCCCCAAACAGATGGATGTAGACTTATCCATGGATACTTTCAGCATATGTATTGCTAAGAAAATTTAGCCATGTAATTAAGAAAGTAAATTTAGAGGCTGTAGTGAAGGCCGGGGTGGTCCTTACTGTGGTTTCTGGCCAGGGTTCTTCTGCCCCCTGCTGGTGGTGTGTGAGATGTCAGCATTAGAATAGTCGCCATTGGCTGTGATGGCTGAGTTGTGCGCTGCTCTCAGGGTGCATTAGCTCTCAGCCCTGACGATGTTCAGTGTGTTCAGGCGCATACAGGGAGTGCTGTATGTATATATTGGTGGGAGACGGTGATGAAATGGCGCAGGGGTACGGACCTCAGCCGGTAATGGGGGCTGAGTGCCGGCGGCCATGCCCAGTCCGGACTCGCGTGTGGCGGCCCGACTGACGGCACCGGCACGAAAAGGCCAGAATCTGAGTCTCCTCGAATACGGGCAGCACATTTTGTTTAGGTGTGGGGTTGGGGGGGTTCCTGCATGCTCCAGGGGTCGTTCCAGGGGTCATCCCTGCCTCTCTCTCTCTCGCCCTCCCCCCCGGCACAGCGGGCGCTTTTTCCACCTGATCTGCATGATGGAGACCGTGGACACAGTGCTGCTCTGGTACCGGGACCTGGTCCCCTCGGTGAGTCGACATCACCGCACGCCGACCGGCCCAAATGGCATCAGACAGACATTCAGCTGCCCACTCAATGAGGGATCCAGTCCCAATCCGAATACGCCGTTCGGCAGAGCGCAAATAGTGGGGTGTTGCAAATGTTTATTTGTTTTCGGGAAGAAGGAAAAAAACACGTCAGATAGCCGATGTGGCTGATAACCGTGAGCGGGTGGGAATTCTTGCTCCGCCTGAGCCACTCAGCATAATTAAAAAACAGTGCGGGGTGCATCGCTACTTTAATGCGTATGCTGAACTAGTTTATTATAGCGTTACTTGTTTTTTCCCTGTTGCACCTGCAAGTGTGTGAAGCGGAGTATGTCTGACCGGGAAGGTGGAGATCAGCCTCCATTTGCTCTGGGAATGTAGTTACTACAGATGCTCCTCTACTTACGAACGAGTTACCTTCTGAACGGCCGTTCACAACTTGAAATGTTCGTAAGTCATTATTCAGCATCATTTTCAGGGTATACGCAAGTACAAAGAACTAGGATGAACAGCTACGCTGCTGTGCGGCGGGAGTAGCGGCCAAAAGTCGTACTAGGCGGAATTGGCGCTCAGAAAGAAAAAATTATGTTGTGGACAGGAAACGGGAGCCCAAGGAACACAATTTGTACTTAGTCCTCTTCGTATGTCTGAAAGTTCGTAAGTTGAAAGTTCGTAAGTAGAGGAGCGTCTGTACTTAATTTTTGTTTCAGTTGTATTGTGGCAAATAATGGAAAAATGACACATAGCACTGTAATGACTATAACTTTTAGTTTATAATTATATGATTAAATATAGAATTAAACTTAGGATTAAATTTCTGTCAGGGGTTAAAGGTTACTGCTTGGCATATGGTACTTTATGACATATAAGGATTTATTTGTTTGTTTGTTTATATTCTGTCTGTTCAGCATTCGTTTGTTCAATTCCGGTGGGTGGTGGCGGGTTTCACAGTGTTCACATGGGCGTTTATTGGTTTGAGTGTGGATTAGGAACTTAATGATAGTTTTAAAATGATTTTCTTTTCAATGGTATTTATGGTTGTATATGTTTATGCTGGGTAAAACCATAAACCAGTATTACATTTACGTGTTCATAATTATTATTATAGTTTTTGCGAAGAACACATATTAACACTTAAATATTCTAAAATTCAAAGTTTAATAAAAACAAAACAGCATGGTTACTCCTATTTCCACTTTTATTTGAATACAAATACAAATAATTTTGCTGCCTCCACAAATACAGTTAGAAATGCAAACACTGGGCTCGTTGCCCATCCCTACTCTCACTGTTTCTGCCCAGTTATTCTACCCCAATTCGGGTGCGATGAGAGACGTCCTACAAGCACTGGACACAGATAACAGGCTGGACCTCATTCCGGAGATTTGGAAAGGTGGGTGTGAACAGTAACGTTTGTGCTACCGGCGATGGCGGCCTTGTGCCCCCCCTCAGTTGTGTGCTTACCATAATATGACCCCCCCCCCACAGATATCAAGCGGCTGGGGCTGTCAAACAAGGCCGGTGATCTGGTGGAGGAGGTGCTCTCACTGATGGCGAGGGATAAGCACAGCCCAGAGGTGGGGGCCGGTTCCCGGGGGGTACGGCAGGTGGGAGGAGCCTCTCTTCTCGCTCACTGCTGCTCATCTGCTGCCTCCAGGTGCACGAGTCCTTCGCTGAGTGCGCGCTGGAGGTGAAGGCCACCTACGGGAGTGGCGAGCAGGGCCAGGTGACCCTGGACTGGACCGCCAGCGCACTGGGGAACATTGCCAGCATCCTGCTGGCTGCTGGGAGAACAAAGCAGGCCTGGTGAGATGGGGCAGGGTGCCTGTTGGCCAATCAGCTGAAAGCAAGTCTAGTGAGAAATGGGGTGGGGGCGGGCCAACTGCTGACCAATGAGCTGAAACCAGGCCTCCTGAGGGACCGGGTGTGGCGGTGCTGACCAATTAGCAGAAATCAGGCCTCCTGAGAGACCGGGTGTGGCGGTGCTGACCAATTAGCAGAAATCAGGCCTCCTGAGGGACTGGGTGTGGCTGTGCTGACCAATGACCTGAAAGGTCCCTCTGCTGTCCTTTCCCTGCAGCATGTGATAGATGGATTGATGGATGGATGTCGTAGCCCTTCTGATTCTCTTTTTCGCTTTGCCTAGGGACATGCTGCCCCTCTTCAAAGCCAACAACAGGGTGCCGGCGTAAGTACAGCCAGTTTTAATGGATAAATCTAAAGATTCCTGCACCAATCTGCATGACATCATGACTGCATGACGATGAGCCTCAGTTAATTAGATGATTAAATGCAGTTAATGTGAATTGCATCTAATATGTACATTGATAGTTTGAAGAATTATTGTGGCTCCATATATCTGTAAGCGTGGTGTAATCAGTCTCTCTGATTGTCGTAACGCTGTGATGGACAGATGTGTTTGACGCACTCTACCATTCCAGAGAAAAGCTTCTGGACGACTTCCTGAGCTCAGCAATGCTCCGCGGCGATCCCCAGCGGGCAGTGACCCTCGTGCAGCTCTCAGCCAGCTTCAGCCTCCCAGCCACAGCCCGGCTCGCCCAGAGGGTGCAGCAGGAGTGTGAGCTCAACGAGGAGCACAAGTAAGACGACCTTAGCGCTCGGGTGGGTGGGCAGCGACCTCCTCACCAAAGGCCCCTCCTCAGCAGTAGGGCAGTCTAATCTCAGCTGACATTAAGCCTTTTAGTTTTTTAGAATTACATAATTCCGAACAAATTACTTTATGCAACTCCCCAAGTTGGGGATATAATCCATGCCGTAACTGCAGGATAGAACATTTTCCCCATAAGTGATTACTTAAATGAATTGGAGCAGAGTGAACTTTAGCACTAATTGAAATGGAAAGAATGGCCATGTGGCATGAGTGATATGGCCATGTGACATGAGTGATTATGGCCATGTGACATGAGTGATTATGGCCATGTGACATGTTTCCTGTAATGTAAGTTAATAGGAATTTTAGATATTCCAGCTTTATTTACCTTTTACTATGTCAGCTACTATGTCGTTGTACTCCTGGCTGTCATGGTGCTTTGGGGTCTGCATTCTGAACGTGGTCTCTCTCCCCTGCAGGACACTCCTGGTGGAGTTAGAAGCTCTAAGTCATGACAAGGACTGAGCGTCTTTGGCATCTCCTGTGCTCTGTTATGACGGTCATTTTTTCTTTGTTCTTGTGCTTTTAAGTTAATAAAATGTAATAAATCTGTCAGTGGTTTTGATTTCTTGGGAAGGGGGGAGGGGGGGGGAGTCATTTTGTGTTCGGCTGACTCAAAGGTAATGTCCTTAAAGCAGATTCTGTATTCCAGAGCAACTGGGATCAGGGCATCAGAGCATCAGGGTCAGCCAGTGAAGTGAAAAGGGTGAAATCATTCTGCCGGCCGCCGTATTTGACCCAGCAACCTTTCGAGCAGAAGCACAGCAGCCTAATGCACTGAGCCACACTG